CCACTACCTCTTTGTACCCTTCCTCGAACCACAGGGCATCGGTGACGTTGCTTTGCTGGCCATACGGTACTGGTGGTCTCTGGGTTGGATGACTAGCTTGGCAGTTGGACGAGCCAACGTACTTACCCAGGAGCGTGGCTGGCTCCTCTGCGTCCGGCAATGTGGGCAGGCTGGTATCAGGCTGACAGAAGAAGCGTTAGACCACATCATGTTAACATACAATGGGAGCTCTCTACAACATACATGGTCCAGGTCCAACGCGCTCACGAGGTCTGACATGTGCTCTCGGCGCCACTGCACCATTTCCGGTGTTTCAACGTTTTCATATCCTCTGGCCTTTAACCATTGCTCAATGAAAAGGATCTGTGAGTTATGATCCGCGTGCTCTGTGAAAACGCGGCCACCCCGTGTCCAGGGAGAAATCAGATAGAAAGGAACTCTCAAGCCTATAAGCGACCTGGTATCAGCATGCTGGTCATCTCTTTGCCAGAACTACAGAACTCACCTGGTCCAACATAAATCTTTCCAAACTTCCCGTAAGGGTCTGTCATCCAGTCGCCTGGAGTATCCTCAGGGGAGTGGAAAGGGACAACGTGGTCCCCAAAACCACCCGTTTCTAAAAGCCGTCAGTCGAATCGTGAACATACCCATGCAATAGGACATCCTTACCATCATAGCTAATAATTAACAGAGTTGACGAGTATTTGGGACTTTTCGTCACGGCGTCCACCACCTTTTTCTGAAGCCATGCACCGTCCTTTGGCATATAGGGTGGATGTTCTGATAATTCGGCTGGACCGACGATGAAGCTGACCTCCGGGAGACTTCCATTAGCGGCAGCCTTGTAAAATGCGTCGAGACCCAGGTATGACAGGCCCTTCTTGGCTAGAGGGGATGATGCAGATGCATTCTGGTACTGTTCGAACCAAGCCAAAGGGTTGTCATCAAAGTTATTCTTCTCCTGGTACACTTGCCACGAGACCCCAGCGTCTTCGTAAACCTCAAAGATGGTTTTCCATTTAAGAGGATAGCAGTTGATGTTGTCCGTATCGCACCCAGGCGTTTCGTTATTGTCTATATAAGGGCCGCCTTGGTCCGACGTCTGGGGGCTTCCCGGGATATTCACAGAGCCGCTCACCAGGGTCACGCGATTGGGGTTAGTAGATGTGATCTGCGACTCTTGGTACATATCTCCAGCAGTCCAACCTTCCGCAATGGCAAATTGTACCGGAATATCATTTCGTTTAAGATAACCCCAGCTCCAAGGGGTGTTGTTCCGCGCCCAGTTGTTGTTCAAGTCGTGGTTGAGGGATGCTTGGTTGTCCTCATAGCCGTTGCTTCCTGCTACCATACATTGAATGGCATCATTCCAGTCTCCACCTTTGTATCCCAGATACCACGGGAGAAGGGTCTTTGCATCTTCGGACATTGAGGGGTCCACCTTTCTATAAACGTAACAAGTGAGTTAGCCATAATCTGTAGCTTGAATTGCCCAAGTGTTCTCAAAACTAACTGATGCCAGACGGATAATCCATCATCATTCACTTGTACATTGGGGTCATTGAACCCTCGAACGCCTGCCATAGTTCCAAAGTACTGCAATGCGAGAAATTAGTCAATGGACCAGCGGGCGCACATTTTAGAGGCTCAACAGCACATACGTTATTCCAGCTTCGGTTCTCTTGCATAAAGATAATCACATGGTCAATGTCTTTCAAGGAACCAGCACGAGCAGGCCTGCTCCCAAGGAGCATGGCCAAGGTCACACCCAAGAGCATCGACATAGTGGTGTGCTATCTTGAACACGAGCAGAAAGGCGTCGACTCAACAGCATCTTGGTAATGACTGATAGATATACCTTTGGAGGTTACATACGCATCTGTCGGCTCGTGCCGATGCAACAAACCCTTGCAGCATTAGTCAAGGCAACAATCAGAGGAAACGTGATGCACATTGTAGATCGGATTTGACGAGCCATTGAGATGCCGCATAATCGCTATTGGTAAGTTTCACGATGGGGGAAGATCATAAGCCAACCAATATCCAAGCTTTTCGACTAGACCGTGGCACAGTTGCAATGGGAATGCAAGATGATGCGGAGTTGCTGTTTAGTACTTGTTGGCCTCCTCGGTTAGAACATCGAGATAGGCACGTGTTGCATTCGGTTGGATGATTGAGCATCAACCAATGGAGTACGATGGGGCCACCCGCAAGAGATGTCAAAACAATTTAATTTGCCGCGAGGTTTAGTGCCTGACGATCTATTTCCTTGACCCCCAACGCTTTCCGCGTCATCTGTCAATTGACAAGCAATACAGATCTAACGAATGCTGAGTCGAGGACGAAACCATAATACTATTTGGCCAAGTAGCAAAGGACGATTATATTTCAAGTTAACGTATCAGCACAGTGATCTCTCATGCATTTGAATCGAACAGTTGGGATGGTGAGGGGACAATACGCCGAAAACGAACTTCTAGACAAATAATGAAGAAGAATTATATTACCCAGCGGGGTCATCGGCAGCTGTTGCCAATTTCTCTCCATCAAACATCCGATACTTGAACTTTCTTGTTTCTATTAATTTCTTGGTGTGTCACGATCTGTACTACATGCATACTCCGCACAGATTATATGAGCGATCTACATGTCCCATGTAACGTTCCCTTCACTTTCCCCACTATTAGAAGCGAACCATGCAATATAATGTGCTGACCATTTAAGAAAATGCTATTCGGAAGCCAAGTGACCCAGATGAAAAAGTACTAAGCAGACAATGGAGGGAAAACCCAGTCGCCGAAAATCGAGAAACCCGAAGATCACAGAACGGAATGAATCGGACGCTGGCCCTCAAAATACGTCTGCCGGAAGAACAACAAGATATTGGCCTTGCAGCATTGTGATTTGTCCGCTGGTTTTATGCGTCCTTACTGCATTGCTCTTTCTCCAACAGTTCACCACACTAGATCCATTGCGCTCCGTACTATCCTCCCCTAAAGTTCACCATGGCGAAACGCTACACTCCCAAGTGCACAACCCTGACTCAGCTCGCCCGAGCATAGAGCTTCATCCAGAGGACCATGTATATCGGGGACCAGTAACACAACATCTTGACTGGGTGGTCACTGCTGATTACCTTCGACCAGATGGGGTGTTGAAGCAGGTTTACCTTGTCAACGGTAAGATCTTGGTTCCATTGAAAATCAGCTGAAGTAGAGGACGTATGCTAATCACAGTACGAAGAATAGGTATCTTCCCGGGTCCGACTATTGAGACCCGTTCTGGCGATACCCTTATAATCAATGTCGCAAATGCACTGCAAGAGGAACCAATCTCTATCCACTGGCATGGAATTCACGTTCATAGTAGGTTATTATCCTCAATATATGCCTAGGACGATCATTGGACTGACGTTCTAGATACAATGGATGGTGTTCCCGGAGTGACACAAAATGTCATTCCACCTGGATCTACCTTCGTGTACAACTTGACTGTTCCCAATGACCAAAGTGGCACCTTTTGGTACCATGGTCATACCGGAACTTCGAGGGCGGATGGCCTATACGGTGGCTTTGTTGTACATGCACCTTCTTCCCGGCCTACTGTTCGCGGACTCATGGCCCGTGACAGCGCCGAGTCCCTGCAGTACGGTTACGAAAGAGAGTTTCTACTCCTGATCGGAGATTGGTACCATCAGCCTGGTGATCAGGTCTTGGCCTGGTACATGAGCATCGCGTCTTTCGGAAATGAGGTATGTTCTCAGCACTCATGTTATCATGCAAATCAGCACTAATGCAGTGTAGCCAGTGCCTGACTCATTGTTAATCAACGGGGCGGGCAGCTTCGACTGCTCTATGGCCGTACCTGCTCGACCCCTAGATTGTGTTGAACAACATACCAACCTCTCCTACCTATCAGACATAGACACGGCCTATAGATTGCGTGTGGTCAACACCGGGTACCACCACCGCCATACTTCAAAGTAACCAAAAGCTAACGCGCCCATAGTTCCTTAGCAGGATTCACCCTATCATTCGAAAATAAACCCCTCACCCTGATCCAAGTAGACAGCACAAGCGTCGAACCCCAAGAAGCCCCATCAGCAGGAATCCTCTACCCAGGCCAACGCATGGATGTTGTCCTCCAACCCTCGAAAGAAGACCTCACATCCCTAACAATCCACCTAGACCAAGAGTACGTCCACCGCTCCCAATCTCAAACAAACCAATCCTAACAACACAAAAACTCAGCTGCTTCAACTACCCAAATATAGCCCTCACCCCAACCCAAACATTCCCGATAACACCCTCCCACATCCCATTATCTCCCCAACCCCTCCCAAAAAACACCCTAGACCTGCAAAACACGCCCTCACAAACCTCTCTCCTCTCGATCATCCCCGAAACCCCCACCCAAACGCAGGTAATCTACACCAAGATCCAAAAACTAAGTATAAACCACAACATCCCGAACGGCTTCTTCAACCGCACCTCATGGCGTCCGCAACCCGATACGCCACTAAACACCCTCCCGCGTGAGAAATGGGACGATAACCAGTTCTCGTTCGCCGTACCTGATTCCGAATGGATTGATGTGGTGGTGAATAATCTAGATGAGGGGGGGCATCCATTCCATTTGGTGAGCTCTTCTCTTTACCCTCATTTTTGTTACTAAGTATACTGATTCGACGTCTTAGCACGGTCATCACTTTTATATCCTTAGGGTCTATGAGGCGCCTATAGGATGGGGCTCGTACAACCCTTTTGTGGATGCGGTTCCGCCGGGTTTAGAGTCCGAGTCGGGGTATGATCTCTCTCGTGCAATGCTTCGGGATACGGTGTATATTCCCAGTCGGGGGTATGCGGTTTTGCGGTTCCGGGCGGATAATCCAGGGGTATGGTTGTTTCACTGTCATATTGTTTGGCATTTGGCAAGTGGGATGGCGATGGTCATTGATGTTGGGGAGGATAATAGGTACTAGTGGTTGAAGATGTATGATATGCGGTGAATTCCTCTGGTAGACTGTAATGTTGTGTTGTAGATAGTTCAATTTAAGAGTTAAACATGAAAATGTTTGTGAACGTTCAATGCTGAACGATGCTATTAGGAATGCTCCCTGCAACCGGTATGCCCGTCCCGACGTATCCTACCCGCCCATTCGAACCCGATTTCGCCAATCTAGTAAAGCAAGATGAACCCGCCAATAATACAATGTAAGAAAACAAAAAGGATTTTGAACGCCAGCCACCTGGTCGTAGAAGCAATTAAAGTCAATCTTGTAGCGCAGAGATACGCCTAGGACGAGGCGGAAGCCCATTCCACCACTTCCATGGCACACATCACAAGAATTAGAGTAGACGGAAGAATCCTGCAAAGATCAGTACATATTCCTATTGTGAATCTTAAAGGTGACGTACCAAACAACGTAGCTTTGGAACAACAATTTGGACATAGCGCCCACATATACGTTGTTGATTTGGCAAATCTGAGCCAACTGAAGCGCGGACGGGGCGCCAGTGAGAAGGAAACAGACGATGACGAAGATCGGATCATCCAGAATGCTGATAGGGACGTATTTCGCCAGGAGGGCCAGCATTGGAGCCATGATCAGCGTCGGAAGAAGCATACGCGCCACCAGAGACGCAATGATCAGCTTCTTCTCCTCCTTAGGGTTTTCCATATCCTGCTGTGCTTCTTCAGGCAAAGTATTGCGCTCCAGATTGGCGCCAAGGACCACAAGAATCAATGGCACAGCAACCTGGCCATTTTGTTGGATTGCACTCGTCACGGAATTCTGCACGAAGGTGCCCTCGTCGAAGAACAAGCGCTGGAGCGATGGTACGGATGCCACGATGATAGACACAAGCATTGCCCAAAGTGGCGGGTTCATGAATTGCCAGAGGCCGCGGAAGAATCTCTGGGTCCCACTCATAATGCCCGATAGTACTTTCTGGAGGAATGTTGGCAGGCGTTGGAACAAGGCTCCTGACTGTCTTTCCCAAGTATTCGTTACGCGACCACCAAAACGACGTACGGAGGTTCTAACGCGGAAGCTGAGCCCGGCCTTTCCGGGATCGCCCCCTGACGCTTCAACGCTAGGAAAGCATAAAATATCACCCTCGGTGCTTTGCCGGGGTAGGAATGGTCCCTGTGGAGGAGGACCCAGTAGGCCAGGGTGGTCGGTATCCTGCGAAGACAGCTTTGTGTACGAGTAGGCGCGTACCAATACTGGTGTCTGCTCCCCGGAACGGAATACCTCAGACTCGTCATTTGAGTCAGTTCGGGAGCCATCAGAAGATGCGGTTCTGATCAAAGGTTCATCGGGATCCGCTTGCTCTGGGTTATCGCTGTATCGGTCCTGGCCTTGTTCGATACTCGTTGTACCCTGCTCCCTTTCTCCCCCCTCAAGATATCGCTCCCGGGGGGCAAGAAGAACGTGGTAACCCCAGCTCCAGCGTACGAGCTGGCCAAGCTGCTGAAAAATGAGCAGGTACAAAATCCCCCGCGCCGCCACTTCATCGTCATTATCGTTGGGTACCCTATCCCAATGGAGGCCTTTCAAGGTCTGTGAGAGCGACATGACTAGGGAAATCGGAAGCGAATTTGAGTTTCCAAAGACCTGGTAGTAAAAGATGTTAGCATGATGGTTGTGTACATACATCACTCGCATTCTTGATCACGTACCGCCATGGCCGTCACAAAATTGGCCGGTCGTTTCTTGAAGCCACAACATTTCGATACGGTGAGTGCGCAGACATAAGAGACCAAGGTTTGGACAACAAAGATCACCGGAATAATGGCTAGATCAATCAGCTTTTCTGCGGTGAGTTGGGATCCCAGTTTCGTGAAGACTACAATCCAGGAAAATTAGTTCGAGGCCGGTTCACCACAAGGATCCTACACGTACTCAGACACGGGGTGAATAGGTTGACGTTGAGGTTGGCGACCAATTTCTGGGCGTCTGCGTCGAATAGGCCTTGTCTGGCGGCGATGTAACCAGGCAAGCTGACACAAATCACTTGTAGGACCGCTTCGAAGACCAGAAGAATCAAGTGCGAGAAGGAGGGATGACTGGAATGGGGAGCAACATATCCGAGAATGGACGGCGAGGCACCTATCTGGTGCTGGGTCAAAAGCTGGCGAGGAACGAGCGATTGAGCATTCTGAAACGACGTGGGAGCAGTAAAAATGGCCATCGAACGGGGGTAACAATACGGGGGTAACTGGTGTGTCGAATGTGAGCGGAGAAGTGTTCGTGATGAGTCTGGAGTGACGTACTAGAGACGGAAGGTTCGGTAGTTGGCCCAGTGAGTAGTTTAAAAATTTAAGGTTGCAGCTCTAGGCAAAGGGAGACGGAGAGCTCAAGGCGAAAATTCAGGAAACCAACCGAGAGAGGCAAGGCGAGAAAATCACCTCAGGAAGAGTCGAATGCTGAGAAAGAATATTGGAGCTACTAAAATAGAATCCTAGCAGAATGATAAACGATGTCTGTGCCTGGGAGTGGTAATGTTGGCAATCTGGGGGATCCTTTTTTCTTGCAACAGTGGTGATTCCACCCGGAATAAGCATGGCGACAACGATGCCCCATTCACCGCTCTAATTGGGCGATAACGGGGACGATCGAACGCCATGGCAAATCACGCCAAGACCACCAGAGTATTTCATGATAGTATCCATCGTCATCGTCCTGATTTCTGTCCTTTCGGATTCAGATAGCATTGCCTTTGCGTCAAAAGGCACTGGTCAAGTTGTGTCAGCTTCCAAGGTCCCTGTAAGGTATGTTTGCCCTTTTGCTCCCACAGGATGTGGTACTTCCGTAGACTGCGCCACAAGGTACTCAAAAGGAGAAGCAACCCAACACTCCGTCTCGGCACCAAGACCTCCCAGAGACCACAGCCACGATCTGATTCCAGAATGAGGTCGACCGCCAAGAGGGATTGTTTCATTGCCAGCTTTCCTTGCGTCAGCCACTCTTGGAACTCCTTATCTATATTTCACCAACGTTGCTCATTGACTCATAACAAGAGTGGTATCACGCAAGAAAAGAAACCTCGCATCATCTTGACCATTATACTGCGCAGTAAATGACGTACTCGTTCTCGGCAATTGTCGAAGCCGAAATTCACGAGGGGAAGCGATTACTAGTATTCTATGAGTTCAAAATGAAATGAGGTGATGTATCCTTCCTCCACTCCCGCCAGTTAGCAATTGGTTTTTGGCTTATCGCACGCCTGGTCCCATGGTTCCCCAATTGGCCTGCTGGGAATTTTCCACAGTGGCAGCTAGTAAGATATGGAAGTCAACTTTTGATGATCACAGTTCTGAAACATTTGCTCTCCGCCAATCATCCCCAGCTTACCACAAATGACACCATTCAACGTAGTTGCTCCGCCTCGATGACGCCACAGTGGGCATATCAAAGCCCGGGGATCGTCGTCAACAAATATCGTACTTCTGCTGACCTAGAGAAATGTTTATTTGGCGGACTGCAGTAGCTTACTGGATGCTTGATTGACTTAGGATTGTGGAATCAACCGGGGTCGTTCGCAATATCAGGCAACACATTAGGGCTTAGCTCCGATTTGACCTGAATAGCGCGATTTGCCGACAGAATCGGTCTCAACCACGGACGGATATCATTCCCTTTCGCCTCCGTAGGACTACCCATGGATCTTGACAGGCGACAACCCCCCAGAGTACCGTACATTCCTGTATATCATAGTTCGCAGCGCTTGTGGTCTGATCATTTTCGCCGTCGAAAGAAGCCTCGGGAATAGTCTAAGCTTGTGGAAACCCCCCTTTAGCTCGGAGAAATTACCAAAGTCTCTCGGGAGACCATCATACTCCTAGAAATTCGCCGAATAGACTCTCGGCCATTGCGGGGATTTTGCGTCGGATGGTCGTTTAGGAACGCCGATATGGAGACAACAATCGGGAGTACGGCGGTTCAAAGTCCGACATCAAACCTTCTAGACTACTCGATGAGTCAATTTTGTGCGTTGCTGTGCTGGCACATTGGCCGACTGTCTACTTCAATATACAGCGCGTTATTCTCTTTACGGAGAACACTAGGAGACACACTAAGTGTAGGTCTTATTGTTTGCACATGTTCAGGACTGTAATGAGTCATATTAGGCAGTCGTTCTCTACGGAGAATAAACTATTATACGAAACTATTTGGGACTGTCGGTCATTAGTGCTGCTGTTTGACAATTCCTATCGATGCCAGGTAATGTGGTCATCAACCAGGAAAGGAGTATGACACAGCATGGAACGCGACATGTGGAAGGGGCAATTTTGGGCAGGAATTGAAGGCAACGTACGGAGTAGAATTGATGATTTCAATACCAAGTATAACTATCTGTTTGCAGGGAGAAAGTTAGCAGATATGCTGAGGATGAGAAAGGGTATGCTGCTACTAGTACTAGTAGTAATATAGTATAATTAGAATGTACTGTGCAGGATGCCTCTCTTATTATGATGTATGTACATCTGTGTATATATGGATATTCATCCATACATATAATACATATAAAGTGGGTTTAATCCAGAAAACGTTGAAACCCACAACCTTAAATCATGAAATGTATCAAATCCCATTGGGTTGATGGCGGCCCGTCCAATTACAACTCGGCCGCCAGCACGTACCTGAGTGACCACATGTGCCAGAACAGCCGTGTCGACTTAAGTGATGGACTACTAGCAGAGAAGATCGGGATGCGATGCGATGTACAGAGTAGACCATCAATATAAGAGCTGAATCAATGACCTCATTCTCGGCAGAGAACGTTGGCAACGATGTGGGGGTTTGGAAAGAAAAGTCTTACTTTTGGGATCTGTTGGGTAAATCTCATCAGTTACACAAGGGGTGCGATCTGAAAATATTGTGGTATCTTTTTGTTCGAAACGCTGCCCAACTTCGCCACATGCTTGTTCACCGAGACTATTATATTTGATGTGCATTGATTTACTACGGGATTGTTGAATCTCGTTCCGTATCAGCCAACGACTGGCCTTCGATAGTTTCCGCCTTGTATCAAAGATTGCGTAAAATGAAGTTCTGCCCTGCCCGAAATACTCTGCCAACATCCACTCGGCGAACTAACGGGCGTGCGAAGTGGCAAAAATTAATTTATTTTCTCATGATCAGGCCGACATAAAGTTGCTTGCCACAGGTTGAACCCGTGGACGTTTTGCGTTCTTAGTGCGTGCGTCCGTTTAAAAATTTACTACACGGGCATGCCCGCCGATCATTGGCAAAATAAAAGACCCTAGTAAGGTGGATAGCTGAGGTAGTACCTGAACTGGGGAAGGTAACGAAATAAAGAAAGGAAAGGAATAAAAGGATTCTCTTCGCCGACGGCAAAAAGCGTAATAGGACTACGAGTCACTATATTGCCTGTGTCCATTGGCTGGACGACGTCCCTTAGCAGCAAACAAAAGCAGGGAACTTGGAACAGTGTGGGAAACTACTCCGTACGCTTATACTGTCGTAGGTCAGATACCATTTTCTTTTCTTTTCTTTTCTATTATCATTTTCTTTCATTTCATTTCATTTTTTTTTTTTTTATGTTCATTCCCTTGATGTTCCGCTGCCAAAACCAGATAGATCCCCATCTGCCATTCGAACTTCTCCGTATTCTTGCTCCCCACTCTCTAGTCTAGTCTCTATTTTGCACTCGTCGCTCCCATCCTTGATTTATGCCCTCTATTTTCTCATATTATTTTTGATTACTGACAAGCTAAGAAGTTGTTGGCAGCCCCGTTTTTTCTCCTTTCTCTTTTCTTTCTTCCTTTTCTCTTTCGAACGGTTAGGTGCTGTGCTTCAGTATACACGAGTTCGTTATCTATCCTTCCTCCTCCGGGAATGGCTTGAATCGTGCCCCGCGTTGAGAACAAACCTTCATCTCCAGCCGTCCTGCGAAACGTTTCTGCCTTTCCACTAGATATCAAATCACCTTTTCCTCCTCGGGATCGGGCCATCCACGGCAAAGACGCACTGAATTCGTCTACCTCACGCATTCCGACCGTTACCATATTTTGTCACCTCCTTTCATGACTGACATTGCGTGAATTTGCGATAACGCCTGAAGCCATTGGAGACGGCATTTCGAACATTGCGACCTGATTTCATTTACCGATTTTCTCGTACGCTAGTCCAACACAATGGCATCCGAAATCAACCCTGTAGCGGGCGTTTCACCTTCGAGAGACCTGGACAACACGCCTGATACGACCGACGATGACCTCTCCCCTTCCGTGACCACTCCCCCCGCGTCAGTGCCCTCTTTACGCCCGACCGATAAAATCCCCGGCATTACCGCGTCGTCGACACACCTGGGCCAGATTAGTGCGGCTCGACGAGGTGCGGGAACGCCTCCGCGTCCGCAGGCCTCCATGAGTGGTGCGTCGCAAGGGGGCTTAAACCAGGATATTTTGGCGAAAATGAAGGCTTTCTCTCTTTCTCGGCAAGGCGCACCCCCAACCCTACCCCATGCGGCTTCGACTGGAACCGTACCCAAAACTCCCCGCCCAGGTGTCTCCCCAGCCGGTTTGTCGAGCCCAGGGGGACAGTCTCCCCCAGTTGTTAATGGTCCTTTGGCGGGAGCTTTCGCCGGCCGACTTCCCCCGGTAGCTCGCCCGAATACCAAAAACTGGATGTCGTCTCCATCGATACCCGGCTCATCACCAAGTCCTAATTCCCCGAAGCCGGGTGGCCTTGCTGCGAAACGGATGAAGCCTGGGCTCAAGCTATCCGATGCCACCGGGACCAATGGCACTGCTGGAACTCAGGCTCCTGCCAGCGGGACCGAAGGAACCGGCGAGACTGCGTTCAGTAAATATTCCGAGTTCATTGACACTAAGTCGGGGACGCTGAACTTCAAAAACAAGGCAATTCTGCATGGCGGCGGAATTGAGTTCTCATCTGGGCATAAGTTCAGCATTTCGCTGGACGAAGTTGATCGTCTGGATGAATTGGGCAAGGGCAACTATGGAACAGTATACAAGGTTCGACATAGTCGGCCGCATATGCGAAAACCCGGCATGGGTTTGAGAGGGATTGTCAGTCGTCCGACGGGGCCCGAAGCGTCTGCTTCCGAGGATAATCTTACTGGAGTTATCATGGCCATGAAAGAGATCCGCTTGGAGCTAGATGAAAATAAGTTCGCTCAAATTATCATGGAGTTGGAAATCCTTCATCGTTGTGTCTCGCCCTTCATCATCGATTTCTACGGCGCCTTCTTCCAAGAGGGAGCAGTCTACATCTGTGTTGAGTATATGGATGGTGGGTCGATTGACAAGATCTACAAGGATGGCGTCCCGGAGAATATCCTCCGTAAAATAGCCTTATCTACTGTCATGGGACTGAAAACACTCAAAGACGATCATAACATCATCCATCGCGACGTTAAACCCACGAATATTCTCATCAACTCGCGAGGGCAGATCAAGATATGTGATTTCGGAGTCAGTGGAAATCTGGTTGCCAGTATTGCCAAGACAAACATTGGCTGTCAGAGCTACATGGCTCCGGAGCGCATTGCTGGCGGTGGCGTTCAGCAATCCGGAGCAAGCGGTGGCGGGACCTACAGTGTTCAAAGTGACATTTGGAGTTTAGGATTGACCATCATTGAATGTGCCATTGGCCGATATCCATATCCCCCTGAGACCTTTAACAATATCTT